GCCATTCGTCCGTGCTCACACGCAACGCGCAGCTTCCCGATGGAGACGTACCCCATTATTTTCCTCTGCGGTTGCGCGGCCGTCGGATCGGCATGGTACCTTACGCGCCTTGCGCGTGGTCCGGAGGTGATCTGGGACAAGAAGGTGCGTAGGGGTTTGCAGCGTGCTCACATATGCAGCACAACCCGACGCCCTGGAACAACATTGAACCAGGCACCCAGGTCAAGCTGCTGAACATTACCGTGCGTCCACGTGAGGTGCGTGCTGACGGCCCAGGGCGATTTCGACAAGAAGTACCACCGTGACCGCCTTTAGGTAGTACCGTGGTACCGAGCACTGCGTGCTATTGGCTGGGAGCGTTGGGGGACGGAGGAAGCGCTGTGCTACAGGGAGTCGCAGCCGCGCGGCTTCCCGCTGCACTGTGCTGCCTACACTGCGTTGGTGTGGTTTCGTGTCTTGCATGCACCGATGGATGCCCACTGCAGCTAGTACACATACGGGATGATGCGGGACGGCACACGCGCTGTCTGGGGGGTGAGCGAGACGTGCGGAGGCACATACGTAATCTGCCCAGCTGGATGTGGTCAGATGGAATGCACGCCGACTTGTAACGTACTCGTTCCCATACTTCTCCCGGCATGCGTCGTCGTCGCGCAGCTGGCGATGCACGAGGAGCACGGCGAAGTAGACCACGTAAAAGTACGGGATCGGCGTCGCGAACCCGCATGGCAGGCACCACGCCCAGGCCATGATCCAGTCGCCCAGGTAGTTTGGGTGTCGCGAGCGGCCCCACCATCCAGACACAAGGAGCTGCCGTCCAGAGGATGTCGTCATACTCTGCAGCCCTGTGGTCAGTGCGCGGTGGCGTCGACGCACCTTTCGGGTTGTAGCCGCGGCGGAAGTCGTTCTTCTCCACGTTCGCGGTGCGGAAAATGTAGAAGCCGACCGCCTGCACGAGGAGAATGGCTGCGACGCCAGTCCAGTGCAGGTGCACGGGGTGGAACGCTAAGTACCGCGCCTGGAGGCTGTACGTGAACGGCACCCACGCCAAGTCGCCGACGCTCAGCATAAACCCAAAGCCGTCGGTGGTGATGTCCATCTGCGTGAAGATGGTTGCCTCGTCGTGAGCGGGGTGTCGCCTATGCACACACCTCGTTCAGGGTCGAGTCGATGACATACCAGGCGTGGAAAAGCACGACAAGCACCATGCTGTCCGACACCAAGCCAAACTGCGTCCACTGTGCGCACAGACAGCTGATGTCCATGAGCACCCACAGCACAAGGCCCGGCCGCAACTCGTTGAACGTCTTGATGTCAAACGCGCCGATGCGCGGGTTCAGCTCGCGGCCGATGAACCACTGCGGTGAGTGCCGCTCCGCGTCGACGCACGTCGAAAAGCATGTTCCCGCTGTTTCCCCCGCGCGCAAGCAGCTTCGTGCCATGGAAAGATGCCGCATACACGTACACAGCCTGCACGATGGCATTGACGAGCGCCGCGCTCAGCAGCCCGGGCCAGTGGTCGTACAGGACAGTGAAGCTCGCAGGTCCGTAGACACTGATGTACACAGCGACACCCCCGAACGCGAGAAGTGCCGTAGCGAGAGCTGGAGATCAGTGCCGCGGAATGGGTACGCACCGTTGAGCTTGTACTCGAGCTGCCTGCCGGTGCGCAGTGGGAGGCCCTTCACCCAGCGGCCGGGAAGCACCATCCACGCAGCGACGCAGTAGGCGTACCAGGCCGCGTAGAGCAGCCACGCCGTGCGGTCGTGGAAGCTCGCCCTGAACTCGCGGGACGCGTATGCGAAGAACGCCTCCATGTTCGTGACGGGCGTCGATACGCTGCATCCCAGCTCCTCGCTGCACCCCAGCGCCAGGTAGTACATTGTTATCGGCACCGCCGTTGTGACGAAGAGCGCACCCAGCGGGCCGCCGAACTCGAGCTCCGTGGACCGCGGCGCGATCAAATCCTCGCCTGGCGTGGCCAACGCATTTGTTGTCTCACCTTGGGTCATGGTCGTGGGGAGAAAGTGCCGGTCGGTTACAGTAGTTTAATATCGTACGATCTTAGCCCATGTCACGCGGTGAAACCTCCACCTGGCGCGCCTCGCACGGCCGCTCCAATTCGCCTCCATGCGGCTCGATGCTCTGTTTGCCGCCGCTGCGCTCCTCTGCGGCGTGCGCGCGGCCGCACCCTCTGCAGCCACTCCACCACAGGCGGTCTTCCAGTCCGGCGCAGACGGGCGGGGGGGGGGGCTGCGCAGTGCGCCCGGCACGTGTCCCGCGTCGGATGCGCCACGGCATCTACGGGTGGCGGTGATCGGCGCTGGCGCATCCGGGGCGAGTGCTGCTTACTTCTTGTCCCGCGCGCACGCACAGCTCGCGCGCGACGGCGACGCACCGGAATGTGTGGACGGGAGCGGCGCTGCATGGGGGTCTCCGCGTCGTTCCCTGCACATTGACATGTTCGAGCGGAGTGGCGTCGTTGGCGGCCGTACCGCAACGGTGCAGCCGCTGGACGACCCGGGCCTCCCGCCAGTGGAGATTGGGGCGAGCATATTTTCAAATGTTAATTACAACCTTGTGCATGCGTCGGAGACGTTCCATCTGGAGCGCACCGCGCCGCGGAACATTTCGACAGAGGTGTGGGGCCTGTGGGACGGCAAGAAATTCCTCGTGGACTACTACGACGGATCGACATGGAGCCAGCTGAAGATGTACTGGCGATACGGAAGGAGTCCGCAGGTGACGATGAAAATGTATGTCGCTCGGAGAGCGCGCAGCTCATCCCAGTGTCGACAAGGCAGTGTCGTCGTTCCTGCGCGTGTACTCTCCTCGCTTCCTGCACGACACGCGGCGGCCCTCGGGGTACCCATGGCGGAGCGTGCACGACCTGGTCGCGTCGCTCGGCTTCGCGCGCGTGACGGCGGAGTCTGCGCGCGACCATTTCATTGCGAAGCGCGTATCCGCGCTATTTGTGGACGACATGGTCAATGCTGGTACGCGGATGAATTACGCGCAGGACGTCGACGACATCCACGCATTCGCGGGGCAGGTCGCCCTGGGTGCAAGGGGCGCGACGAGCGTCCGCGGAGGTAATGCGCAGCTCTTCGAGGCAATGGTGAATGCGAGCGGCGCCACGGTGCATTTTGGCGCCGCTGGCGAGGTGACCGGGCTGATGAAGCTTGTATCGTACGCGACGCAGCCGTGTGAGGGTGCGCGCTGGTCCGTCGGCACACGTGATGGATACGGGCGCAGGTACGACGCGGTGCTAGTGGCGGCGCCGTGGCAAGATTCCCGGATCGTGCTGCTGAACACGGACCGGACACTGCCTGCGTACGCCTTTCAGCGGCTGCACGTCGTTGTGATTGCGACGGACGCACCGCATCCGAGCGCGGCGTACTTTGGACACGATGCGTCGTACGAGTATGTGCCGCGCACCATCCTCACCACGCCGGGTGCCGCGGCGTTCGATCCCCCAGTACGTTTCGCGCTTGCCGACGCTGTTGACGGCTGTTTCTCTCCCTCAGCTACCTGCGGGAGCTGGCGAACGTGACGCACGGAGGCCAGGAGTATTCGCGCGTCTTCCTTGTGAAGCTTTTCTCGCGCAGCGAGCTGGACGATGCAATGCTCGCTTCTCTGTTTTTCCCTGGTCGCGTCTTGTGGGCGCACCGGAAGGCATGGGACGCGTATCCGAAGCTGACGCCGACCACGAAACTGGCGCCGTTCGTGGTCGACGACAACCTCTACAATATCAACGCGATGGAGCGCTGGGTTTCGACCATGGAGACGAGCACTGTGGCTGCGAAGAACGTGGTCGCCCTGGTGCTGGAGAAGTGGCTCGGCACCTCCTTTGTTCGCGGGTCGCACTGCGCGTTCAACAAGAGTACGCCGGGCGTCGCGCTCGACTGGGCGAGCTGGGGGTGCTACAGTAGTTGATACTTGCGCAGCGTTGCCCATGGCACACACTGTATGGATACTGGCGCGGCGCTGCGCACGGCGGAGCGGGCATGGATGGCACGTCCACCGCAACGTCTCATTGGATCTCTCTACAGCGTGTGCCAACACGATGGAGGCGTCTCTCCCTCCGGTGGTGGGCAGCAGCAGGCGCGCTTAGAAGGAGGAGCGCGTCACCTTCTCCAGCACTGGGTGAAGTCAGCTCCGCCCCCGCCCGCGGACGCACCGCTCTCGTAAGACACCTCGCTCGAGTCCGTGCCCTGAATCTCGGTGGCGATACCGACGAGCGCCCTGCGGAGCGCATCCTTCGACGACGCGTACAGCATCTTCTGCTTCACCTTGGCATCATCTGGAGACCTGCACTGCATTAGCGAGCCGTCTCCTGTGGAATCGTGGACGCACCAAGTCACGAAGCAGATCTTGTTCCGCTTGCCCTCGTTGCCCTTCTCGAACTCAAAGTCATAGATCGCGTAGCGGCACTCCCCGGGAGGCAGTTCAGCGACGAAGTCGTCGTAGTCCTGCGACTCGCTGGTCTTCGCAACGACGATCTCCGTGTTATCCGACGAGAGTTCGTAGATAAGGTACTTGATTTTCTTGCCGAGCTTGAGCGACTGGTACTTCTCCAGACACTCAGGGTTCACCTTGACACCGGACGACTGCACCCACATGAGTCAGCAGAGCTCGCGTGATAGGACAGACACGCACCATGGCTAGCGATCTCCTGTCTAACGTCGATTTGCAAGTCTCGGGGAATAGCCAAACACCAGGTGTTCGACAAGCGCGGAAAGCGTGGATTGGCGCACGGCGCGCGCGCCAGCCCGGTTCCGCTAGCGGGCTGCGGAGTTCCACGTGATACGCCACGGACCGCGCGAGGGAAACAAACACCTGGGGAAAAGGGGGTGGACATGGGGGCTTACGGTGCGGAAAGCACGGGCAAGCGCCCTGGGCACGGCGATAGCATGCCGTCCACCATACAAAAACGTTCTTACGTGCTGCGCGCGTGCCCCAGCTGCTCCATACAATAGGTGTATGGGGCCAAAAAAAAATGTGGCTAGCCGGAATCGAACCGGCGTCTCATCGGTAATAGTTGTAGTGGGGGAAACCCAACCACAACGATACGTACTGACCACTATACTATAGCCACAGGACCTTACTTTCCGAGCGAGAGGGGGCGCTCTATGAGCGGGAGAGCGAGATGAAGACGCGGCTGGCGTGCCGTCCGCGCGGCGGCGGCCGAGGCTCAGCACATGACTGGCTACCCCTGCAGGAAATAAGACTAAGCAACAAGGTATCGACAGCTGCGCTCGCGTGGCATTCATTTGCCCGAGCGCTGTTCCCCGACGTCCTCGTCCTTTCACTCGATCCACTGAATCAGCCAGCGCTGGTCGACCCCATCAGTACAGCACATATTTCCCTCCTATCCGGATACAGCAATGACTGAGCTGCGCAGGAAGTTGGTTATTGTCGGCGACGGAGCCTGCGGCAAGACCTGTCTGCTGATTGTGTTCAGCAAGGTGAGTTCGTTGCGCGGGTCGCCTGCTGGTGTGTACTGACCACATCGTGTATTTGTCATTTGTAGGGCACATTCCCGGAGGTACGTACTGCGTCCCGCATCCTGCAGGGGAGGTGGCTGACGTGCGCAGGTGTACGTGCCGACAGTTTTCGAGAACTATGTGGCCGATGTCGAGGTCGACGGTCGCCATGTTGAGCTGGCGCTCTGGGATACCGCGGGCCAGGAGGACTATGACCGATTGCGCCCGCTCTCCTATCCGGACTCCCATGTTATCCTTATCTGTTTTGCCGTTGACTCGCCGGATAGTCTGGACAACGTCCAGGAGAAGTGGATCTCGGAAGTGCTGCACTTCTGCCAAAACCTGCCCATCATTTTGGTCGGCTGCAAGAAGGACCTGCGTCGTGACCCGAAGATTATCGAGGAGCTCCGCAAGACGAGCCAGCGCCCCGTGACGCCGGACGAGGGTATGGCCGTGGCGTCCAAAATCGGCGCGGTCCGCTATCTCGAATGCAGTGCGAAGACAGGCGAGGGTGTCCGGGAAGTGTTTGAGCACGCAACGCGTGCTGCCCTCATACAGAAGCCACGCGGCAGTCGGGGCAAGTCCAAGTGCCTTGTCCTCTAACTTGCTGTTCCTCGACATACTCCGATAATCCTCTTCGAGATTCAGGCGCCTCAAGGATGCCAGCACAGGATGGTGCACGTTTCGTGGCTGGAAAGCTACATGCATAGTCGTCTACTGGTGGGCTTACGTAGCGGGCCTCCTCTGCTGGTCAACTCCCCATTGCATAGACGAGCTCCCCTGCCTGCGACCCCGCGCAGGCCTCTGGGCATGGCTTCTCTTCTTTCTGCAGTCACCAGCTGTGCTTTCCACCGTCCCCCGCGGCGTCCCACGCGCCACGTCTTTTTCCCCAGCCGTATTGTCTGCGCCACCGCGGCTCGGGGATACTGCGCCAAGATGGCCCCGCCACACCACGCGCGGCGCACGTGGCTGTTACCCCCCGATTGGGCGCGCGATATGATTTTCGAACTGAGCTTGTGTTGATGACCATTGCGCCGCTTGCATGGGCCCAGCGCAATGTGCTGGGCCGGAAGCCGGCGGCTATTCTGTTGCTGGTGGTTGTTTTGCTGCTCATCGTATTGCCGCTGCAGCTGCATCACAATGTGTCTGCGTTTCTGCATGATGCGGCGGTGGAGCTCGGCCACGAAATGCCCTGGCCGCAGGCACTGCCGATCAGGGGATCAGCCTCCCCCGGCGCTGGCGCCGCGTTTGATGCGCTATCCCTCGGAAAGTCCGGGCACACGCGGCCCAAGCCACACGCGGACCCAGCGCGCACGACGCGATGTGCGACCGCTGCGCCTGTGCTTGACGCGCATGGGCTGCAGCGGCCGCTCGTCCAATATGCGATGATGATGGACGCTGGAAGCACGGGTAGTCGCATCCATGTGTACAAGTTCAACTACTGCAGTGCATCGCCGGAGCTCGAGTCCGAGTACTTTGGCCATGTGGAGCCCGGGCTCTCGTCGTACGGGGCGGACGCCTCAGTACGTTTGCCGCAGCGCGCCCGCTTACCACCAGGGTGCTGCGAATTCGCTGCGGCCGTTGCTCGACGAGGCCGTGCGCCGCATCCCCGCCGAGCTGCGCGCGGCGGCGCCCGTCTCGCTGAAAGCGACAGCGGGCCTGCGCCTGCTCGGTGTAGGGAAGAGCAACGCGATCATCGACGCGGTGCGCTCTCTGCTGCAGCACGAGTACCCATTTCCCGTTGCCGACGGCGTGGACACCGCAGGGCAACGCGACACGCGTGGCGTTGAGACCATGGATGGCCGCGACGAGGGCGTTTTCGCGTGGATCACAGTGAATTACCTGCTGAACCTCATCCGCGAGTCCCCCGGTGCGAAACCCGCGCGGACCGCGGCGGTCCTCGATTTGGGCGGTGGGTCCACGCAAATTGTCTTCGAGCCACACATGCGGCCCGGCACACCGGGCATGCGGCCCGGCGAGCATGTGTACGAGTTGCGTGGTGTGTGGTGGGGGGGACGAGCACTCACACCAGACTTCGAGAAGCGGTCGTTTGTCCTGTACCAAAATTCGTATCTCGGCTACGGCCTGAAACAGGCGCGCAAGTCGGTCAACTCACTCACCGCGTTCCAGTACCTCCTGGCGCATCCCGATGCGGTGCACTTGGAGGTCGCTGCGGACACGAATGCGCGGGTCGTCCCCTGGTCCGCACTTACACCGGACAACACGCAGATTCCTAGTCCCTGCTATGCATACGGCACCCACAAGGAGGCGCCCGTGTCGCATCCCGGCTTTGCTGACATTGCGCACGTGCAGTTCGTGGGGAGCGCCGGCGGCCTCCGCGCGTGCGAGCGCACGGTAGAGATGATGATGGACAAGGATGCGTGCGTGCGCGTTTGTGCCTATCTGACAAACAGCACCTGCTCGCGAACCCCGTGCTCCTTCGCGGGTGTATACCAGCCGTCGCTGGAAGAGGCATTCAAAGATGCGCCGATCATCGCGTTGTCCTACTTTTTCGACCGCATCTCGCCGCTCGGCCTTGGTCCGACGTTCACGCTTCGCGAACTGCGCACGGTCGCAGAACGCGTGTGCTCTCCGCCCTCATCGTGGCCGCAGTTCCGCAAGCCGGAATTCTCAGCAGAGGCACTTGCAGCGCTGCGCGAGCGGCCCGACTACTGCCTAGACCTCACTTTCATGCTCACGCTCTTCCGTCTTGGATACGAGCTCGGAGAGGACCGCCGCATTACTCTCGCGAAGAGCATCAATGAGTTCGAGCTCGGCTGGGCCCTCGGCGCTCAGCTTGCGGTGCTCCAGCAGGGCGTGTACAGGAAGTAGGGGGCAGTGGGTTGCGCGATGCGGAGGAGTGTGGGGGGGATGGCGCGTGGCCGCGCAGGAGCGGACATTTCAAAGTGCAAAGACGCGCGAAAACCTTGGCATCGTGCTCGCACGGTGGGACGCTCGCGTCGCCCGGGTTCATCTCGCACGCGTCGTCGCTTGTCCTTCGAGCTCACTCACTGGCCACCCACTCGTGATCGAGGCGTCGCCTTCTCGTACCCCGTGCGTCACTCCTCGTACATCAACCCTCTCCCTCCGCTCACTGCGTCCCGCGTACGCGCGCCTCCGTCGCTGCGAGGATGGCACTGCGGTCTGGCTCTGCTCGGCGCGTCGCCGTGTTGCTTTGCGGCGTCGTTCGGCCCGCCGGCCCACGCGGGGGCGGCGCGTATGCGGTGCCATACGACGTGCGTCGCACGTTGCTCGGCGCTCCGAAGAGCACGCGACGCACAACGGTAGGGGTGGACAGCAGCGGCGACAGATACCGCGCGACGAATGCTTGCACATCCGTCCCGGCGCCGACGCCTATGCGCCGGCCGCCGCGCGGAGCGCTGGGCGCGCGTTTTACGTAGTTCCACAGGAATGCGGCCACCAGTCCCGTCGCACTCTGCACCACGATCGCTGGGCCGCCTGTGACCAAATCGAGCGCCAGGTTCACGTAAGGGAGGTATTTAGCCTCGACGTTCACGGCACCCATGATTGACACGCGTGCATTCGGCACTTGGACGGACCATAGGTACTAACGTGAGCGCGCCTCTTTCCACATACATACTGTGAGCGCGTTCAGCAGCGGATGGAATAAAATGGGCGTGCGCAGCGGCACATTCAGCGCCTGCATCGAATAAGTTGCGTTACACCCCGTAGACGCACCACAATCGCGGCGCCGATCAGCATGAGGGCCCACGCATAATCTGCCGAGTCGCCGAGCAGCTGGGGTGCCTCCAGGTCCGACGACGCGCGGCTGCCGCGTCAGCACGATGCATGAAAGCCCAACACACTAAAAGAAGAACGTGTTCAGCAGGAGCGGTAGTCCGTCACCGCCGTATAGGAAGCTCGTGCCAATGCGCCAGAGCTGCCATTTGCGCGTGACCAAGGGCCAAAGCAACGCAACGTCGTACGGCGCCAGCAGGTGCACGACGCATGGGAGCGTCACCAGGGCCTCGCCAATAAGCAGCGCGCGGGTGACAGGCGGGAGCGCTCGTCTGCGGGTGAGTCGCCAAGTCCCATGCGTGCCGACGTACAGGATATCCATGGGGAGCCTGCCGCCACCGACCGTGCGGCCTCCACGTCAGCTCGTGATGTAAGTGTGTCCCTTTCTGTCGTGTCGGCACGCGCGCGGTCCCCTGTCCGTGCGTGTCGATCGCCCAACTATCCCAGCGGCCCGATTGCGACCCCGCGATGAGCGTAAATTTGGTTGCGAGCTTCCACTTGGAACGCGTGATCAGTGAGGGTATGCATACTGCGGGACCTGCTCACTGTAGACGCGCGGGCCAAGTCTATTAATCTTTTGGGCTCGTGCACCGAAGAGGATGGCACGGAGCACCCGGCGCTCCTCCTCCTAGAGAAGACGCATTTCACACGTGCATTCGCAGAAGCGCTCCGCGACGGCGGCCCCACCAGCGTTTTTGAGCGGCTCGCATCGATCGGACAAAACGATGTGTACACCTGGGCGTTTGGATGGGAGCGTGATGCCGCTCACGGAGAGGCTCAGTCGAAGCTCACGCTGATCTGCCCAGCCAGTCCGGAGGCGATTGCGAAGTACTCGGCCCAGGAGCGTGTCATG